TACCGCTCCCCACTTATAAACACACAAAGGTACTGACACATTTCACAATTCCTCCTAACCCACGCAAACAGGTGAGCATGGACACGCGAACAAATTTGCTCCAGCCATAAAATGATGCACTGCTTCTTCGTAAACAAAACCTGTCCTCTCGCAAACACGCAAGGTATATGTAAAAGGTAATAAAGTGGGCAACACACATCGGAACAAGGCAGACAGACATATATCACACTTTCAAATATCCAGGGAAAAGTTCTGTGTCTTTACGAACAAGGACATTAAAAAATAAATTTGAACATAGCTGACACAATCCAAGCCAATTGTGATTTATTTTAGTGAATGTCACCCCTTGAGAATGTGTTCACTGTACATACAGGAAGCTCATTATCAGTGTGGTGTTTTTTTTTAATGAAACATTACACAATGGAAAAGTCTGATATCTGAGGTGGTTGTCTTTGAGAGAAGGACAATATGTAATCACCATGTGTCTTTGAAAAACACAACAAAAATTACGTGCCAGTGCAGATATATTATTGTGTCACAAGGTAAGGCTTGTAAACAATGCGTGGCTTTAGTATTGTTACGTTTTCGGGTTGTGCCATGTGTTTGGCATGATGTCCAACGGTTCACTCCATGTGCTGGCATCATGTTCAGGAACTGAATTCCTAAAGAAACTCCCGGCACATGGAGTGAAACGTCAGATTTCATGCTGAATAACAAGCAGTACAATATCGGAGAGCTATACCGTGCTGTAGAGCACAAAACCTACACAGGTAATAATGTGTGGCTTTCAAACCATGCGTCCACAATGGTGGGTTTTGTTTTAACGTAAAACAACACACATTCCGCTAAAGGTAAGATATCGAAAAAAGGTGTAAGCATCACTCAGTCCTATTTAAAGACGAGCATTTCTGGGTGAATTAGACACCACCATTACATCTCAAAAGGCTGTATACAATGGCTATTTAGCTCTGCCGCAAGATTGCAACGCGGGGTTGAACGGAAGTTTGGAACACTGGGTGCTCTAAAACCAGTTCAGGGCTGACAACAACACAACGAAACGACCAGCTTTTCACGCATTATGATTTCATAACAAATTCCCACCAGCAACCTTGAAAATAATTTAAACAAAACAGGCCCCCAGCTCCGTTTAGGGCAAAAAAAATGTGATCGTTCTCATTTAACATGTTTATGAAATGAAATGAGGTGCTGTGAGTCTTGTATAACATAAAGCATCCAGTGTAATAACAAGCGTCCTTGTGTGAAAGCTGTAACTGAAAACAAGTGTGGACATCCTACAGGATCGCTGTTTTCAAATAGGAAGCCAGTGTAATAACATCTTGAAAATATACACGCATCAATTTTACATACACATTAGAGGTGCTTCTTACTACATTAGCGATTATCCGATAGACACAACACCGTGTTTATTTTCTAGTAATTGTTAACACTCTTGTAAATGTGGCCATTGTATTATAGACTGTTGCGAACAGAAAGCAGCAATGCAACAACAGGGGCTAAATGGATAAACAGATAGGCATATTGACCAGACAGATTTTCGGCGTGAGTATAGGTTAAGAAGGTTGGGTGGGCATTCAGGAAGGCAAGAAGCAAGACAAGTGCCGTAGTTTATCAGGTCGATAGAGCACACCTGTCAACCCATACGGTTTACCCCTCTTATATTGTGCAGGGAAATCGAGTTTTCAGGTCCATACACGTACAGCCGTTTCAATACGGGCAAAACAAAGTGTTTCTATTTGTTTGTGTTCTCCCTTGTGATGGGACTTTGTAGGATGAACGTTGATATTTATAGGGTGACCAATAAGGTCCCAGCCCCACACAGTGACAAGTACAGTCACGACACATGCAAGTTGACGGGCAACACGTTGAGTATTTAATCAGACACGGGAGCGAGTTGTCGCAAAGGCAGGTGAGTAGTCAGGTAGGTAAGTTGATAAGTCAGATAGGTAAGAATGTGTATAACAGGTGAGTGGGTATCGATTGAGTGGATAGCAGGACAGGTGAGGGGCTCGCGAGTCAGGTGAGTGCCTGGCCAGACAGGTGAGTGCCTAGCGAGTCAGGTGAGTGCCTGGCCAGACAGGTGAGTGCCTAGCGAGTCAGGCGAGTAGTGGCTCACAGGTGAGGTAGCAGTTGCGTAGTGGCTGCAGGTGAAGTAGCAGTTGAGGAGTGGGTGACAGGTGAGGTAGCAGTTTAGTAGTGGGTGACAGGTGAGGTAGCAGTTGAGTAGTGGGTGACAGGTGAGGTAGCAGTTGAGTAGTGGGTGACAGGTGAGGTAGCAGTTGAGTAGTGGGCTCACAGGTGAGGTGGCAGTTGAGTAGTGGGATGACAGGTGAGGTAGCAGTTGAGTAGTGGCTGACAGGTGAGGTAGCAGTTGAGTAGTGGCTCACAGGTGAGGTAGCAGTTGAGTAGTGGGTGACAGGTGAGGTAGTAGTTGAGTAGTGGGTGACAGGTGAGGTAGCAGGTGAGTAGTGGGTGACAGGTGAGGTAGTAGTTGAGTAGTGGGTGACAGGTGAGGTAGCAGGTGAGTAGTGGGTGACAGGTGAGGTAGCAGTTGAGTAGTGGCTCACAGGTGAGGTAACAGTTGAGTAGTGGGATGACAGGTGAGGTAGCAGTTGAGTAGTGGGTGACAGGTGAGGTAGCAGTTGAGTAGTGGCTCACAGGTGAGGTAACAGTTGAGTAGTGGGATGACAGGTGAGGTAGCAGTTGAGTAGTGGGTGACAGGTGAGGTGGCAGTTGAGTAGTGGGTGACAGGTGAGGTGGCAGTTGAGTAGTGGGTGACAGGTGAGGTAGCAGTTGAGTAGTGGGTGACAGGTGAGGTGGCAGTTGAGTAGTGGGTGACAGGTGAGGTGGCAGTTGAGTAGTGGGTGACAGGTGAGGTGGCAGTTGAGTAGTGGGTGACAGGTGAGGTGGCAGTTGAGTAGTGGGTGACAGGTGAGGTGGCAGTTGAGTAGTGGGTGACAGGTGAGGTGGCAGGTGAGTAGTGGCTCACAGGTGAGGTGGCAGTTGAGTAGTGGGTGACAGGTGAGGTAGCAGTTGAGTAGTGGGTGACAGGTGAGGTGGCAGGTGAGTAGTGGCTCACAGGTGAGGTGGCAGTTGAGTAGTGGGTGACAGGTGAGGTAGCAGTTGAGTAGTGGGTGACAGGTGAGGTAGCAGTTGAGTAGTGGGTGACAGGTGAGGTGGCAGTTGAGTAGTGGGTGACAGGTGAGGTGGCAGGTGAGTAGTGGCTCACAGGTGAGGTGGCAGTTGAGTAGTGGGTGACAGGTGAGGTAGAAGGTGAGTAGTGGGCTCACAGGTGAGGTAGCAGGTGAGTAGTGGGTGACAGGTGAGGTAGAAGGTGAGTAGTGGGTGACAGGTGAGGTAGCAGTTGAGTAGTGGGTGACAGGTGAGGTAGCAGTTGAGTAGTGGGTGACAGGTGAGGTAGCAGTTGAGTAGTGGGTGACAGGTGAGGTAGCAGTTGAGTAGTGGGTGACAGGTGAGGTAGCAGGTGAGTAGTGGGATGACAGGTGAGGTAGAAGTTCAGTAGTGGGTGACAGGTGAGGTAGCAGTTGAGTAGTGGGTGACAGGTGAGGTAGCAGGTGAGTAGTGGCTCACAGGTGAGGTAGCAGTTGAGTAGTGGCTGACAGGTGAGGTATCAGGTGAGTAGTGGGTGACAGGTGAGGTAGCAGTTGAGTAGTGGGTGACAGGTGAGGTAGCAGTTGAGTAGTGGGTGACAGGTGAGGTAGAAGTTGAGTAGTGGCTGACAGGTGAGGTAGCAGGTGAATAGTGGCTGACAGGTGAGGTAGCAGTTGAGTAGTGGGTGACAGGTGAGGTGGCAGTTGAGTAGTGGGTGACAGGTGAGGTAGCAGTTGAGTAGTGGGTGACAGGTGAGGTAGCAGTTGAGTAGTGGGTGACAGGTGAGGTAGCAGTTGAGTAGTGGGTGACAGGTGAGGTAGCAGGTGAGTAGTGGGTGACAGGTGAGGTAGCAGGTGAGTAGTGGGTGACAGGTGAGGTGGCAGTTGAGTAGTGGGTGACAGGTGAGGTAGTAGTTGAGTAGTGGGTGACAGGTGAGGTAGCAGGTGAGTAGTGGGATGACAGGTGAGGTAGAAGTTCAGTAGTGGGTGACAGGTGAGGTAGCAGTTGAGTAGTGGGTGACAGGTGAGGTAGCAGGTGAGTAGTGGGTGACAGGTGAGGTAGCAGTTGAGTAGTGGGTGACAGGTGAGGTAGCAGTTGAGTAGTGGGTGACAGGTGAGGTAGCAGTTGAGTAGTGGGTGACAGGTGAGGTAGAAGTTGAGTAGTGGGTGATAGGTGAGGTAGCAGTTGAGTAGTGGCTGACAGGTGAGGTGGCAGTTGAGTAGTGGCTCACAGGTGAGGTAGCAGGTGAGTAGTGGGATGACAGGTGAGGTGGCAGGTGAGTAGTGGGTGACAGGTGAGGTAGCAGTTGAGTAGTGGGATGACAGGTGAGGTAGCAGTTGAGTAGTGGGTGACAGGTGAGATAGCAGTTGAGTAGTGGCTGACAGGTGAGGTATCAGGTGAGTAGTGGGTGCCAGTTGAGGTAGCAGTTGAGTAGTGGGTGATAGGTGAGGTAGCAGTTGAGTAGTGGGTGACAGGTGAGGTAGAAGTTGAGTAGTGGCTGACAGGTGAGGTAGCAGTTGAGTAGTGGGTGACAGGTGAGGTGGCAGTTGAGTAGTGGCTCACAGGTGAGGTAGCAGGTGAGTAGTGGGATGACAGGTGAGGTGGCAGGTGAGTAGTGGGTGACAGGTGAGGTGACAGGTGAGGTAGCAGTTGAGTAGTGGGTGACAGGTGAGGTGGCAGGTGAGTAGTGGGTGACAGGTGAGGTGACAGGTGAGGTAGAAGTTGAGTAGTGGCTGACAGGTGAGGTAGCAGTTGAGTAGTGGGTGACAGGTGAGGTAGAAGTTGAGTAGTGGCTGACAGGTGAGGTAACAGTTGAGTCGTGGCTCACAGGTGAGGTAACAGGTGAGTGGTGGTCAAGTCGTGCCACTTGCCTGCGTTGGACTGGCTTCTTGCGTTTGCGGCTCGCGTAAAGGCTGATGCCCAGAGTCGAACTCATGTCGGCGGCTTCTTCCCTCCAGCACGACGAGTGCCTTGCGCTGTCCGGTGACGACAACAGCGTTCACGTGAACAACAGCGGCGTCTTCACGTGAACAACAGCGGCGTCTTCACGTCAACAACAGCGGCGTCTTCACGTGAAGACCCTCCGGGGCAGACCGACTCGATGCCAGATGGTTTGGGTAACTGAACTCAAGGTTGACTGCAGAGCGAGCGCGTGTTGGATACAAAGAACACGTAGGCGAAGCAGTGTAACAGGGCGAATCGGAGCCGCATTTGTACCCCCCACGAAACTCCGCGAACTTTCCTCACAGGTAACCTTTCAACAATAGCGAGTTGAGCATAACCACGGTAATGCACTGCGAAGGCATTCGGCACTTACATCGAATTAAATGCGCTCATGGGCGACGGTCTGACAGCTTTGCGGTGTCAAAACGGACAGAGTGAAGTAAACAACGACGCCGAGGAGGTGGTGATGATGGACATGGTGCGAGTAGCGAGACACGTCGACGATGAGGAGGTGGTGATGATGGACATGGTGAGAGTAGCCAGACACGTCGTGAGGAGGTGGTGATGATGGACATGGTGCGAGTGGCGAGACACGTCGTGAGGAGGTGGTGATGATGGACATGGTGCGAGTAGCGAGACACGTCGACGATGAGGAGGTGGTGATGATGGACATGGTGAGAGTAGCCAGACACGTCGTGAGGAGGTGGTGATGATGGACATGGTGCGAGTGGCGAGACACGTCGTGAGGAGGTGGTGATGATGGACATGGTGCGAGTAGCGAGACACGTCGTGAGGAGGTGGTGATGATGGACATGGTGCGAGTGGCGAGACACGTCGTGAGGAGGTGGTGATGATGGACATGGTGCGAGTAGCCAGACACGTCGTGAGGAGGTGGTGATGATGGACATGGTGCGAGTAGCCAGACACGTCGTGAGGAGGTGGTGATGATGGACATGGTGTGAGTAGCGAGACACGTCGTGAGGAGGTGGTGATGATGGACATGGTGAGAGCAGCGAGACACGTCGTGAGGAGGTGGTGATGATGGACATGGTGAGAGTAGCCAGACACGTCGTGAGGAGGTGGTGATGATGGACATGGTGCGAGTGGCGAGACACGTCGTGAGGTGGTGATGATGGACATGGTGCGAGCGGCGAGACACGTCGTGAGGAGGTGGTGATGATGGACATGGTGCGAGTAGCCAGACACGTCGTGAGGAGGTGGTGATGATGGACATGGTGCGAGTAGCCAGACACGTCGTGAGGAGGTGGTGATGATGGACATGGTGAGAGTAGCCAGACACGTCGTGAGGAGGTGGTGATGATGGACATGGTGAGAGTAGCCAGACACGTCGTGAGGAGGTGGTGATGATGGACATGGTGCAAGCGGCGAGACACGTCGTGAGGAGGTGGTGATGATGGACATGGTGCGAGTAGCCAGACACGTCGTGAGGAGGTGGTGATGATGGACATGGTGCGAGTGGCGAGACACGTCGTGAGGAGGTGGTGATGATGGACATGGTGTGAGTGGCCAGACACGTCGTGAGGAGGTGGTGATGATGGACATGGTGTGAGTGGCCAGACACGTCGTGAGGAGGTGGTGATGATGGACATGGTGCGAGTAGCCAGACACGTCGTGAGGAGGTGGTGATGATGGACATGGTGAGAGTAGCCAGACACGTCGTGAGGAGGTGGTGATGATGGACATGGTGCGAGTAGCCAGACACGTCGTGAGGAGGTGGTGATGATGGACATGGTGCGAGTAGCGAGACACGTCGTGAGGAGGTGGTGATGATGGACATGGTGCGAGTAGCCAGACACGTCGTGAGGAGGTGGTGATGATGGACATGGTGTGAGTGGCCAGACACGTCGTGAGGAGGTGGTGATGATGGACATGGTGAGAGTAGCCAGACACGTCGTGAGGAGGTGGTGATGATGGACATGGTGTGAGTGGCCAGACACGTCGTGAGGAGGTGGTGATGATGGACATGGTGAGAGTAGCCAGACACGTCGTGAGGAGGCGCGACTCACCCCTGGCTCGTCTCTGCCACCCGAGTCACGGCCGAGCCTCCGCGCTCAGGCACTGGGGAATGGACAACGCGCAGCTCAGCGCAAGCCACGGGGGGGGGGCGCCTCCCCCAGCCCCTCCCCTCGATCACTCACCCACTCACTCCCCAGCCCCTCCCCTAACCCCTCCCGAGTCTCCCACTTGCCAGCCCCTCCCCCTTGTCGCACACTCCCCCTTCGTCTCCACTTGTCCCCCGGCCCCTCCCCTTGTCCCCCGGCCCCTCCCCTAGTCCCCCAACTCCTCCCCTTGCCCCCCGGCCCCTCCCCTAGTCCCCCAACCCCTCCCCTAGCCCCCCAACCCCTCCCCTAGCCCCCCAACCCCTCCCCTAGTCCCCCCCAACTCCTCCCCTAGTCCCCCAACCCCTCCCCTAGTCCCCCAACCCCGCCCCTAGGCCCCCACACCCCAAGCCCCTCCCCTCGCCCTCCACACCCCAAGCCCTATCACCCTGTGTCCGCACCCCACTCCCCAGCCTCTCGCCTCCCACACCCCAAGCCCCTCCCCTCGCCCTCCCACACCCCAAGCCCCTCCCCTCGCCCTCCCACACCCCAAGCCCCTCCCCGCGCCCTCCCACACCCCAAGCCCCTCCCCTCGCCCTCCCACACCCCAAGCCCCTCCCCTACAACAGCTCTCTTTCCGATGCGGAACGAACAACACGGGCGAGGGACCGCGCGCATTTGCGCTTCCTTCCGAGCACGTTGTTGTTGCTGTTGCTGCTGCTGCACGCTCGGGATGAGGGCGTGGACTTGTCCGAGATTGGGTGCCTCCCTCCCGCCCATTGTGACGTAGCAGGGGTACGTGTCAATCACGGTCATTAGCATATGAACGAAAACTGAAGACAGTTTTTTATGTTTCTTGAAGGTGCACGATTGGAATCACAGGAGTGTCGGTTCGACAATGTATATTTGGAGTTTGCGCGTCTCTCTCCCTCTGGTCGCGTACATTTTTTTTCTCTGTGGGGCTTTTTGGGTTTTTTTTTCCCCTTCCACATTTGGAAACACGCGTTTAGAGTATTTGACTGCTGCTATGCATTTCCACATGATAAGCCACTTCGTTGAAGCTATCATTTGTGGCCAGGTCACTTCCGAAAAGTAACGTTGTAGTTCAGTGGGCCGTGGCAGGTAAAATAAAAATAGTCATCGCCACATCCTTCAACTCGATGAAACAACCCTATTGGGACACCTGAAAAGGTTGCCTCTTTTGCAAGAACTACCTGGGCATTGAGAAAGAAAGCGGCACACGTGGATAAGAGAACGTAACCCAGTTTAATGACCTCGTCGGAAACTTAAGAAAAGTTAGGCAATGGTCAAGAATAATAACATGAGTAATGCAATCAGCTGGTGGGTGCACATGCTGGATGGATTATTGCATCGCAGGGTCGTGATATGTGACAACGGCTGCTTTGGGAGGCCTGCATCTAGCAGTGGATTGATCTTGGCTGATGGAAATTGATGGGCTAGCCTGTCTGACTTGCTACAATGTCCTGTCAGTCTTAACATCGTTGTGTGCTATGAAGGACCACTGCCCAAAACATCGCCTGTTATAAAACGGTATTTGGTGATGCTGGGTTGTCAGTGGTGCAGAAGCACAACTGATGAACACTGTTCAGCCGGCAGGACTGAATGAACGCCTCACTTTCACTTAAAACATATCTTTATTATTGGGTGCTAAGCAAAACTTACGCCTTTGTCGTTACGTTTAGTTTCATATATGTGTAGAGTACCTCATTTTATTTCTCAAACTTCTCTGCCTCGGGAAATCTAGAGCAGTAAAAAATGTATTATGTTCAGATGGTAAATGCATTGTTTTCTGGATTGTACCGTAAACAAACCTTCCCACAATGCAATGCGCCAGTAAAATTTTATAACCTTACTTTTAATGTAAAGGAGATTATTTCCTACTACTTTTTGACTGTTGAAGGGTGTTCCTGTTATTTCAATAGTTGCGAATAAGTATATATTCACGTGCTTTAAAAAAAACTAAAATCGTGTTAAATACAGCCTGCAGCCTGAATGTTATGAGTTTCACACAATATTACAAAAAGTTGTACTGGCTGAAGTGATACTGTTATATCTTATTAAAATGAAAGCTGCATTCACCTTTCCCGCCCGATAGGTTGCGGATATGAAGTCTGTAACAGCCCTGCAGCAAGTACAGTCCAGTCATATGATACTGTACCATTCACTACCACATTGGGTGCCTTGGGCACCAACGTGATTCACTCCCTAACTCCCAGACGTCAACAACTTACAATGGGGGTGTTTTCTTTCAACAAGGTCTCATGGTTTGCCCTGACTATTGCATACCGCAGCAGAATCTGCTCAGTAGCTGACGGGTGACCCCCGCAGTTTTGTGGGCGAAAACTTTCCAACTACGGTGAAGGCACAAACAGTACTGAACGTGAGCGGTAATCATTTTGCGTCAATAAAGTAGTTGATCCATGGTATTTGTTTTTTTGGGGGGCTGGTGGGGAATAATGACCGTGGACGAGTTGCAGGGTCTTTCAAGGACAGCAGAGCCCCGCATTGCAAGTCCAATGCAATGTGCTTTGTGAGAGTGCGGGTACCACCACAAAGCAACCCCTTTGAGTGCACGAGGGCAGGAGGAGGGCATGGTTGGGCATTGCATTCCCAGCCAGAACTCCATCGCACCAAAATCTTGCCCCGGTCCGTGTAGATACTGTGTGTCGGATTTCTTCCTAGCGCACCGTGCTCATCGGATGTGCGGTATATCACAGTCACGTTCACTGAACAGCAAGCACGCACACATCAAATCCGTCGAGTGACAAGGCGAACCCATCATGAAGAAATAACACACAGATCCCATGCCTGTCGTGAAACTGGCCGTGTTTCTCAGGTCACAGCTGCTGTCGTAAACTAGCGGCCCCAAGGAGAATTACGCAAAATTGTTTCTCAATTAAAGAAAAGTGTAAGGGACTGGCATTGTCTGCTTTATCACGTGAGATCTAATGGCTCGAGTTAGTCGAGTGATAGATGCGTTTAAAATCTATTTTAAACCAAACTTAAGTGCCATTTTATTATCTCAAACTACGTGCAGTACGTTCAGTGCGAAAAGGCAGTGGCGTTTTAAAGTGGCGTACAATAACTCATTGTTGAAACAACAGTAATCTATCACAGAGTAATGTCAGCAAATCATGCGTCGCCCATGATACGGTAACCAATAGTCCACAGCACATTGCGACGCAGCGTTTGTACTTTTTTTTTACGTGCAAGATGAATGAACCACTTTCCATGGTTCCGAACTGGAATCGACGTCCATCTCCTCGAAGCCACCGGGTGGACGCTCAACCTCGTCCGGGCTGCCTCGTCACGCGGTGGAGCTCACGCTCGCGTGAACCGGCCCACGCTTGTAAACGCGTTCACGATGCAGGTCACAGAGAGATGGGCTTTTGTAAAATGGTCAGGCTACAACAAGGTCTCAAGAGGGAGGTTAGCGCCATCAACCCGGCCACCCGAGTTCAAATCCTGGGCCACGTTTGATATCAGTGGCGAGTGGTGTATGACCACACTGGCGCCGATCACCAATACGAAAACATAGGAAATGCAGTCGTGACACGAATGCCACTAATGAATGTGCAGGACTATAAACACAAAGTGCAATCTTGTATATTGAATGGTCTTTGTAAGATAGATCTTCGTGTACATTGAGTGCTAGAATTGTATGGTTACTTTTACTTTTGAGTGCACTATGTGTAAAGATAACAAGCTAGAAATGTAAATATTCGAATTCTTGGCCAAAATGTTGTGGGAAGATGTTCATTGAAGGTACGTTGCCATTCATACAACGACCAGGTGCCAATGACATCAGTTCCTTTCAAGGACTGGTCTCCATCAAAATTACAAATTACAGTACCTGTTCCTCTTTTAATCAAGAGAGACAAAACATTCATAGGTCTCAAAGCTGGAAACTTTTTTGTTCCCAATTTTATCCCAATTGTGCTATCGGTGTCATTTCATAAAACAATCCATTTATATGTATTGCAGAGTAGAGAAGGAGCAACCGTTAAAGAATGGCCTACAGAAGCAGATACCACAGAACTACCCCAGAACATTTTTCAAGTGAACTCTGCTCAACAGGGGAAAGCATGTTCCCAACCACTCTGCCAGAGAGAGTTATGTTCGTTTCAAAATATACAGGACAGTATAATTTCTTAAATGGGAATTTAGCCAAATTTAATGCGATGATGATTGTGCAGTGGTTGGTGACTGGCATGAGACCGTGAGCTCACTACACTTGAGAAACCAGTTTCATCACAGACAGCCACCCGGATTCGAACCCAGCGTCTAAGTGTTGCCAGCTCAGCGCTCTTACTTCTGAGCCACCCGGCTGCCACCTATCAAGGCTGGATACTGAAAAGTTGATATGCACGGAAGAAGCTAGAACGTGTAAAAAAATGCATTTAAATAGTGTGAGATGCTGAGTCTGTATCCTGCAGCGGCGAAGTCAACGAGTGTTGAAGGAGAAGGGATCTTTGATAACAGGAACCCTTAGTCAACCTTGATAATTTAAGATTATATTATCAATGCTTACAATTAAATAATTCACATATAAGTTATATATCTGATGTCACCTGCAGATCATCATTCTCAGGGTAGACCTCGCTATTTCATGTGCTGGTACACTTTTACATTGAGTTATTTTTGCTGGATATTTTTACTGCCAAATGAGAATTTATAAATGATACCTTCTCTATCACTGGCTGTAAAGTATCTACATTGCTTGAATGTGATTGTTGCATATCCATATCTATCGAGTAGTTCATCTTTGGTGGACTACAAAGAGTTTACAGCTGCATAATAATGGAAAGTGGCACAAATGTAAATTCTTTACAGAGTATAATTTTGATACTTCTGCTTTTGCTGTTCTGTTTTATACCAGACAATGTCATTTCCTCGACTTCACATGGGTCTGGGGCGAGCCTAGGAGGCATGTGATATCCAACCAGACAGTTAAGGATGCAGTGGTGAAACAAAAATGTTCCCTTGGACAATTACCAAAATGAGGAAGAGGGAAGGGTTTTGGGAGTTGAGAAAAACGGCAGTCAAAAAACATTTCCACATTTCCAGAAATGG